CAGTAGATAGAGCATTGGCCCGTGGACTGAAGGGACCCAGGTTCAATTCCAGTCAAGGGCATGTACCTCAGTTGCAGGCTCGATCCCCGGCCCTGGTTGGGGCACGTGCGGGAGGCAACCAACCAATGTGTCTCTCTCACATCGATGTTTCCCTTTCTGTGTCTCTCCCCCTCCCTTCCACTATCTCTAAAAATCAATGGAAGCCCAGCCAGCGTGGCTCCGTGGTTGAGAGTCAAGGTTCGATTCCCATTCAGGGCACATGCCCAGGTTATAGGCTTGATCCCCAGTAGGAGGTGTGCAGGAGGCAGCCCATCAATGATTCTCTCTCATCACTAATGTTCCTAACTCTCTCTGCCTCTCCCTTCCTCTCTGAAATATATATATTAATCAATGGGGAAAAATATCCTTGAGTGAGGATTAACAAACAAAGAAATTAAGAGACTGGCCCAAAGTCACAGCTAGTGAACCAGGAGAAATGACATTACTGGGAGCCCTTGGATTACTAACTGGACACAGGTCTGTACTGCAAAGGTGTGAGTGCTCGATCAGAAGGCATATTACCCAGGTAGAGACAGATTTGGAGTTATTCTCATGAGAGACAGGTTGTGTGCGACTGCCACAGGGCAGAGTGCAGTGTTAGTGCAGAAACACTGTTTTCAGTTAACATATCTTCCTTTGGGTACCATCCCAACTCCATGTGATCCTGAAGCAGCCAATCACAATGCCTTATGAATGACCATGTGAGCCACCTGGGCCAATCTGAATACACAGTGGTTAATTCAGGAATGAGCATGTGAATCAAGCAGGGCCTTTTCTGAAACTGGTAAATGGATACCATAGGGGGGAAATTCTTGGTGCTAAGCTGAAAATGCAGGAGGTCAAGGGCAGCCGGGGTCCAAACTAGATCAACTCTTTTAATGCTTATAATGAACAAATTTTATCATCTTGATTTCACATTTAAGGAAACTAAGACCCAGAAGGGTTAGGGTCACACAGTTAGCAAGTGGTACAGTGAGGGTCAGAACTACTCAGGCAGTTTGACCAGAGAGCCAGCAGCCTTAAGGCTAAGCCACAGAGGGAGGTGGCAAAAAGGAAAGGCAAGCATTTCAAGGAGCTTGGTGACTTTGCGAAGGAGGAAGGAAGAGACTGTGTGTATTGGGAGGAGGGAACTCACCATGCAGGCCTGAGCCAGGCTCATGGCCAGGCGGAAACGGGCAGACATGGCAGGAGGCAGCAGTGGGCTGAGGCTGGAGCCCACGGCAGGGTTGATCACACGCAGGCAGCGGACAACAGCTTCCACAACCAGCTCAGTGGTGAAGGCTCGCAGGGTCTGCACTTCTGGAGGAACAGCCCTGAAGAAAAATGGGTGCAGGCTCAATGTGGGGAGCAGTCAGAAAACGAATCAGGCTGTGCTGTGCTGCCTTCTAGAAGCCCTAGTATTGGAGTGGGGGTAAAGAGGACGGCCATGGTTCAGACAGGTCCCGGGTGTTGATAAAGGTGATTTCCATTTGGAAAACTAAGAACTGAGGATGGCCCTAGCCGGTTTGGCTCAGTGGATAGAGCGTCGGCCCTCGAACTGAAGGGTCCCAGGTTCGATTCTAGTCAAGGACATGTACCTCAGTTGCAGGCTCCATCCCCAGGTCAGAGCACATGCAGGAGACAACCAATCAATGTGTCTCTCTCACATCAATATTTCTCTCTCTCCTCCTCCCTCTAAAAATCAATGGAAAAACAACCTTGGGTGAGGATTGTTGGAGGAAACAACAACAAAAAAAAACAGGATATCCTCAGCTCCTAAGAACTTGCTACAGGAGAACAGTGGGTGGAAGGGATCTGAGTTGAGAAAATCTGAAATTTCCCTATGCTTTAAAAGCCCCAAATTTCTGGGGTCTGGGAAGGGCAAGGGGCCCATGTGGTATGATCTCTGGGTTTCTGGTCCCCAGATATCATGTTCTCTAAATGTCAGAGGCTCCTGGATATTAAGCTGCTTGGGTTTTCAGACTACATGTTGGGAGGCTGGGGTTTCCAGAAATTCCAAATGTCAGGATCCCTGAATTCAAGATCTCTGGATATTAAGACCACCTAGTTTCAAGCAATCCAGAAATCAGGCTCCTTACATGATGGCATCCTGGGTTTTTACGGCCCCCGAATGTAGGAGTCTTGTGTGTCTGGGTCACCAGGCCTTGAGGCCGCCAGAATTTAGGCTCCTGGAATTTTATAAGCTCCAGGTGCTGGGAAACTGGGTTTTAAGGTTCCCACATATCCATTCCCAGAGTTTTTGGAATCCCTGAGTGCTAGGGTCCTGGGGTTTTAAAGTTCCCTGGTTCTCAGGAGACAGGTGCCTTAGAATCTTCAGGTATCTGGATCCCAGGGTAGTGATCTTAAGGTCATAGATTTCAGGGTCCCAGGTCTTGAGGTTCCAACGTTTTAATGTTTCAAGATGTCTGTGTCCTTGATTTGGGGGTTTAACAAATGTCGGGCTTGGGAGGACCCTGTGTGTGTGTGTGTGTGTGTGTGTGTAAGGGGAAAGGATTTTAGGATCCTGGAAGTTGGAGCCCTGGATATCAAGGACCAGGGTTTTAAGGTTCCCGGGTGACTGGGTCCTGAGTTTTGGAGTCCCGGATATATGCATGCCGGGGTGGGCGGGGGCTGTGTCCTTACGTGCCGGCCTGGCGCAGGGAATGGATGAGGATTCGGTCTGCCTCCTCCATGGTGAAGCTGTGTCCGAATCTGGGGCTGGGTCCAGGGCCCGGTCCGAGAAGCGAACAAGAGAGGCGAGCGGTTGAAACCGAGCCCCGGGCCCGCCCGCGGTCCCAGGAGTGTCACGGGCTGCCCCAGGCGAGCTGGGTAATGTAGTTTCAACAGCGCCTGCAGCTCAAGTGTGCGTCCTGGTGCGGATGTGAGCGCAGGGGTGAGCGAACAATGGCTGCTAGGAGTTGTAGTTCTTCCGCCTACACTCCAGTGGGCTCTCCCAAGTGTGCAAAGGAGTGTATCTCGTGTATGTGCGCGCTCGAGAGCGTCTTGGTGTGCGCGCGCGCAGCGTGTGCGTGTACGTGCGTGTGCGTGCGCGTGCGTGTTGGGAGGTCGGGACGGAGAGTGATTTCTTGACTCATTCATTTAGGAAGGCATTCGCCTTCTAAATTGTAAAAGTGTACAAGGGCAGGGGCTTTAGCACAAAGGGTTTAGGGTTGAGTCTCAGCTCTTTAGCTCAGATCTTTAGCTCAACTTGCTAACTGCAATCGGGGGTAGGTTACATAACTTCCCTATCTTAGTGTCCTCATCTGTAAAATGGACTACAGTATTCTCTCCACCCCCAGGCCCGGTTTCGCTTTCTGCTGTTTCCCGCGATTAATCGCCATCTGAAAATATTAAGCGGAAATTTCCAGAAATAAATAATTCATAAGTTTTAAATTGCTCGCCATTCTGAGTAGGGTGATGAAATCTCGGGCCACCCGGCTCCCTCCCTCCCTCCCCCCACCCCCAAAGTGAATCATCCCTTTGTGGCTGTATATGCTACCTGCCAATTAGTCGCTTAGTAGCCTTCTCATGATTAGAAACACTGTGGCAGTATTGCAGTGCTTCTGTTCAAGGATCCCTTATTTTACTTAATAATGGCCCCAAAGTGCAAGAGTGGTGATGCTGGCAATCCAGATATGCCAAAGAGAACCATAAAGTGCTTCCTTTAAAAGTTATGTATACATAGCAGGGAGGGGGAACATAGTATATCTAGGGTTCAGTACTATGGCTCTTTCAGGCATCCACTGGGGGACTTGATAGATAAGAGGGAGACTAATGTACCTGCTTCCTATGATTAAAACAGAATTAATTCATGTAAAGCATGTTGTACTATGTGCCTGACACATAATAAAATAAGAAAAGAGTATGTACATTGTGGTTACTAAGTAACCATACATTTAATAAATGCTTTAGTATGTTATACATGTGTATACAATCCAATGACTGATTACGCAGTAAACATTTATATAACCACCATTCATTAAAAAGACCACCCTAATGCGATCCTGGCACACCTGGTTTGTGACTTCAATAAAAGACGTTTGCTTTGAAAAAAACAAACAAACAAACAAACAAAAACCCTGTCTCCACTGCTCAGTAGTGCCATGTATGTCATAAAGCATGGGTACATATATGTAGGACTCAGGTTTGGAACTTTATTCTGTTTTTTAATTACTGCAGCTTTATAACAAGCCTTTATAACTGATATGGCAAATCCTCCTTCCTTCTTGTACTTTTTCAAAGGATTTTGGCTTTTCTAGGTCCTCTGTATACCGATATACATTTTAGAGCCATCTTATCAAATTCCATGGGAAAACTTTTGAGATTTTGTTTGGGACTGCATTAAATCTCTAGATCATTTTGAAAAGAATTGACATCTTCCCAGTTTTTACTATTTCAATTAGTTAATTTAACATATATGTCCATTTATTTTGGTTCCCTTTAATCACTTGATAATATTTGATAATTTTTTGTATAGAGATCTCACACATATACTATGTTAGGTCTATTCCTATGCACTTCAAATTTCAGATACTGTTGGAAAAAATATCATTTTTCTTATTTTAATTTCTGACTGGTGCTAGTATATATTTTGTAAAAATATTTTTTTAGCCTGGCTAGCATGGTTCAGTGGTTGAGCATCGACCTATGAACCTGGAGGTCAGGGTTCAATTCCTGGTCAGGGTACATGCCTGGGTTGCGGTTGCCGGCTCCATCCCCCGTGTGGGGCCCACAGGAGGCAGCCGATCAATGATTCTCTCTCATCACTGATGTTTCTATCTCTCTCTCCCTCTCCCTTCTTCTCTGAAATCTATAAAAATAGTTTTAAATTTTTTTTTTAGTCAGTGCCTTTTCTGTCACCAGGCTCTGGCCCACAAATGTCCCATCTTCGACCCTGCTCACCCTCCCATCCAACCCTGTTATGGCCCCGCCCAGTGACCTTAATCTCTCCAAAGCTGGGGGAAGAGAGGGGGGCTGTTTGCAGATGGCTCTTCAACCTTGAAAGGAGGATGTCGGCATCTGAAGGCGGGAAAGGTGAGAGCAGCCTTCCACCCCTGAGGACCCTTTGAGCAAGCCTGGGCTCTGCTCTACCCCTAGCCCCTCTGACTCACCCACTGCCCACCAGGACCCCACCCCTGGTGAACCACCAGGTGACCAGAACCATCCTGTTCCCATCCCAGCCAACCCCAAACACAGCCTTACCTCCAACTAAGCCATGAAGCTCAGCGTGACCCAGACACTGTTCTCTATGGCAGTGATGGCAAACCTTTTGAGCTTGGCGTGTCAGCATTTTGAAAAACCCTAACTTAACTCTGGTGCCGTGTCACATATAGAAATTTTTTGATATTTGCAACCATAGTAAAACAAAGACTTATATTTTTATATTTATCTTATATATTTAAATGCCATTTAACAAAGAAAAATCAACCAAAAAAATGAGTTCACGTGTCACCTCTGACACGCGTGTCATAGGTTTGCCATCACTGCTCTATGGCCTCCCTTCCCCATCCACAGCCATAGTTACCAGCTGAAACCCAACCCCAATCCTGGCTTTGACCCCTATCCTAGTGCCCACCCATCTTCAACTCCACAGCCAGCCCCAGGGTTAATCCTAACACAAACCATAGGAACCAGAGGGTAAACCCCTGTTAGAGTCCAAACCCCAACACAGATACAGACCTTACCACGCGCTCTAAAGTCACCTCACCTCAACCCCAATTCCTGGATGTCAATACTGTTAGCAAGTAGTTCTCTGGCTTTTCAGAAAGAGCGCAGATCCATTTTTAAGGGGAAAAAATAGAAATAGAGAACACACACACAATGGCGGTAGTAAGTTGTGAGAGCTTGCTGTCAGAGTCTATCTGGATTTGACTCCCAATTCAACCACTTCATCAAATCACTTAGCCCCTCTTTTTTCATCAATTTCCTCACCTGTAAAATGGGAATAATATTATGTGCCAGACAATCTTCTGAATGTTGAAGTAATTTAATCCTCACAACTACCCTGTAATGTAGGTTCTCTTATTATCAACCCATTATACAGATAAGGAAATTAAGTCTCAGAGGGGTTATGTAAGTTGCTCAAGGCCACACACAGCTATCAAGTGGTAAAGTCAGGATTGAAACTCAGCTTCTTTCCTCCAAAGCTGGGGCTCTTAACCAGGTCAATCTACTGCCCTTCACAGGCTGAAACAAGGCCATGGGGATTGAGAATGACCTTAGTTGAAAACCCCAATGCAAAACTCAGATCCCATCCAAACTTAACTTCAGCTCCAACCTTGATCCTAATTCTAATCCCAGCTTACTCAAATACCCAGTCCTAACCCTAAATCATACCTCAAGCACACTCCACTCCCACCTGTATTTAAACCCAACCCAAAAATCCATTTGAATTTACCCTAAATCTGCCTCCAGCTATAAACTTAATGGTACCCCATGCCAATATAAACTCTACCTCAAGTCTAACACCAAACCCTACTTCACTTGGAACTGTAACCTCACCTTCACTCCTCAATAAACTCCCCCTCTATCCCCAATCAATTCCAAAACCAACTCTTACCACCCCAATCCTTAACTGAGGTACCCCTAACTTTTCCTAATTTTACATGCTCTTTTTTCCTTCCCTCAGACAGAGGGATGGAATCAGGTAGGTGGCAGCCATGATAGCCCCCAATATCCTGTCCCTCCTGACTTGATTTCTCCACACAGACATCACCCCAGAGCCCAGTCCAGCCAATGGGGCAGGCCCTGGTCCTGAATGGGGGCTGTGCCCTGGGCCCCCAGAATCAGGGGGTGAAATCAGTGAGGCATCAGGCCTGGGGACCCCTAAGCGAAGGACTCAGCACAGTAAGCACAAGACGGTGGCAGTGGCCAGTGTTCAGCGGTCACCCCGGGCGCTCTTCTGCCTCACCCTGGCCAACCCTCTGCGGCAGTCCTGCATCAGCATCGTGGAGTGGAAGCATCCTGGAAGGCCAGGGGAAGGCCTCAGGGGGTGAGGTCACCAGAGTACCAAGAGTGAAGGATTGGGTCAGGATTAGCATAGATCAAGGGTCAAGTACTGGCTTCAGGGAGAATTTGAGAAAAGTGAAGGTCATTCACCAGGGGAGTCAGAGTCAAGGCCTTGGTCAGGGTAGGGGCTGGGAATGTGAGGGTCAGTCACCTTGGGGTCAAGGGTGAGCATTGGGTGGGGAGGGCCCCAAGGGAATGTTGGGGTTCTAAGGCTGCTTTGCCGGGGTCCTTGACTGTGTCCACCTGAGGCCCTTCGACATCCTCATCCTGCTGACCATCTTTGCCAACTGCGTGGCCCTGGGGGTCTACATTCCCTTCCCAGAAGATGACTCCAACACTGCCAACCACAACCTGGTGAGTTTTGCTTCACCATGCCCGCCCTGTCAGATACAGCCCCAGTAGAACTACACCTCAAGCCTTCCAACGAGGCCCTTCCCTCTCTGATCCAGATGACTCACCTCTGCCCAGCCCTCTGCCTGGCTACGCCCTTTTCCCCTACCCCTGTCCCCGTCAATCACCAACCCAAATAACTCCTGGATCTCCGGCTCCGCCCCCAGGAGCAGGTGGAGTACGTATTTCTGGTGATTTTCACTGTGGAGACGGTGCTCAAGATCGTGGCCTATGGGCTGGTGCTCCATCCCAGCGCCTACATCCGCAATGGCTGGAACCTACTCGATTTCATCATCGTTGTGGTTGGGTGCGCGTCTGCGGGGCACACCCCCACCCTAGTTCAACTTTCCATCCCAAGCCCGCTGAATTCGGGGCTCAGGGAAGCGACTGCTTTAAATTGCTCCCATTTGGCAGCCAGAATCAGGAATATTTTAAGCCTGTTTGCATTTCCGGTTACAGAGACTTGTGCTTTTCTCAGGAGAGGAGAGGGATGGGAAGGGGTGCCAAAGCCTGACACCCGCCCACGCCTCATACCTTGCTCCCCCATCAGGTTGTTCAGCGTGCTGCTGGAGCAGGGCCCCGGGCGGCCTGGAGATGCTCCGCATACTGGAGGGAAGCCGGGGGGCTTCGATGTGAAGGCGTTGCGGGCATTTCGGGTGTTGAGGCCACTGAGGCTGGTGTCTGGAGTCCCGAGTGAGTGTAACGCCTCCCGGGGTTGAAGGTAGGGAAGGGGAGCGGGAGGAGGACTGAACGGACCCCGCCCCTACTTCACCCAGCCCTCGCTCCCCGCAGGCCTGCACATAGTGCTCAATTCCATCATGAAGGCGCTGGTACCGCTGCTGCACATCGCTCTGCTCGTGCTCTTCGTCATCATTATTTATGCCATCATCGGACTCGAGCTGTTCCTCGGACGCATGCACAAAACGTGCTACTTCCTGGGATCTGGTCAGCCAGCCGACCCCTCCGGGGACAGGACGCGCCCCTCCACTGCCTCCTGGGCCAGACCGTGTTCTCAAGGAAACCCTAATTCACAAGACTCCGACCCCAGACTCAGGCTCCAACCCCGATAAACAAGCCCTACCCATATATTCAAGACTCCGCCCTCAATCTCAGACTACAATCGCCCACTTGCTAATAGCTCTGCCCTATCACAAGACTCCACCCTCTAGCCACTTAAGACTCCATCCTGCACAACTAGTCCCAGATTTTCAGGCCCTTCATCCGGACCCCAACCCAAGCCTTGCCCCCACCCTTTTTTTCAGAAGCCCTCCAAAATTCACAAGACTCTGCCCCCAGATTGATACCTCACTTTCATTTATAAAATTCTACCCCAAGATTTACAGTCCCACTCCCCAGATCCCTGTGGTTGGGACTCAGCTTCCCAGGGGTTCAGAATCTTGACCTGGCAGAGTCAGGATCTAAGGGTTGTCCTTGATTTAGAAAAATCTAGGACCCTGAGTTGAACGTCCCAGGTGGGCGGAGCTAGAGGGTGGCAGGGAATGCGGGTGGATGTGGTTCAGAGCCCAGAGCCCAGACCCTGTCTTCCAAGCAGAGATGGAAGCGGAGGAGGACCCATCGCCCTGTGCGTCTTCAGGCTCTGGAAGCTCTGGGCGTGTGTGCACGCTGAACCAGACCGAGTGCCGCGGGCGCTGGGCAGGGCCCAACGGAGGCATCACTAACTTCGACAACTTCTTCTTCGCCATGCTGACGGTCTTCCAGTGTGTCACCATGGAAGGATGGACGGATGTGCTCTACTGGGTGAGGTGGAAGGAGGGCACACAGTTTAGAAGCTGAACCTGCCTTTTCTCCTTGAGCTCAGAGGCAGGAATGTCTGCATGCCCTGAGGGATGCATGTCCTCTCTCTACCCAGATGCAGGATGCCATGGGGTATGAGCTGCCCTGGGTGTATTTCGTGAGTCTCGTCATCTTTGGGTCCTTCTTCGTCCTCAACCTTGTACTTGGCGTCCTGAGTGGGTGAGGAGCCTAGACACTCCCCTCATCCTGCCCCTCAGACTCTGTCTCTTTTTTTCTTCCTGGCAAACTCCTAGGCAACCTTCAAAACCCATCTGAAATACCCCACCATTCATTCAGTCAATATTGAGCATCTACTGGGTGCAAAGCACCATTTTAGGAATGGAACAAGAGACAAAAATCCCTGCCTTCCCAGATATTACATTTGGGGGTTAGGGGGGAGACAGACTATAGCAACATATACAATAAGTAACATATGTGTAGTGTTTTATATGGAATATTTCCTATGGAAAGAAAGGAAGGATAAAAATAGGAATAGGAAGGCTTCTGGCCAATTTGGCAGAATAGGACAAAACACTTGCATATCAATGTTGATCAAATCTACAGTACATTTTGGATTTATGTCACATTTGCAAAAGTTGCAGTTGAAGGTACATTAATTGGTCTTAGGCCTTTTTAAAAGTATGTATTAGTGTAGATAATGAAGACATGTTTGCAAGGCCAAAAAAATAGGAATGGGGCTATCTTGCCGTTAAAATGGGGACAGTCAGGACAGGCCTCCTTGAGAAGGTATTACTGAGTAAAAATGTGAAAGAGATGAGGGAATGAGTCATGTGGCTCCCTGAGGAAAATGTCCCAAGCAAAGGGAACACTCTGTGCAAAGGCTCCAAAGCACGAATGTGCTTGGCATATTCAAAGAACAGCAAGGATGCCAGTGTGGCTGGAATGGGGAAGGTGAGGGGGCCGGGGTGGTTCCTCCACCTCACCCTCTATCCTCCACCCTCAGGGAGTTCTCCAAGGAGAGGGAGAAGGCAAAAGCACGAGGGGACTTCCAGAAGCTGAGGGAGAAGCAGCAGTTGGAGGAGGACCTGCGGGGCTACCTGGACTGGATCATGCAGGCAGAGGAGCTGGACATGGAAGACCCCTCAGCTGATGGAAACTTTGGTTCTGTGGCTGAAGAGGGCAGGGCTGGCCACCGTAGGCAACCCTAATCTGGCCCATTCCCTACTCCATGGGGGCTGCCCTCCTGAGACCCAGATCTCCCCTGCAACAACTCTAGGCCCAGCCCTCAGATGTGGCCTAGGAAACAGAACCTAGATCCAGATTCAGATCCACCTCCCAACTGTACCCAGAACAGATTCCAAATAATCCACCTCCCCCACACACAGCCCTTACCCTGCCTCAGGCCATGGTCCTCAACTGTCCTCCCTATCCCTGCAGGACCACAACTGGCAGAGCTGACCAGTAGGAGACGTGGCCGTCTGCACTGGTTCAGTCACTCCACCCGCTCCACACACTCCACCAGCAGCCATGGTGGGTGTCCATCCTGGTTGGGGAGGGGCAGGATGGGTAGATGGAGGAGAAAGCCAAGGATGGAAACTTGAGGTCTTCCTATGCTGACCTCTGTTCCCACCCTGCCCACAGCCAGCCTTCCAGCCAGTGACACTGGTTCCATGGCAGAGACTCCGGGCGATGAGGAAGAGGAGGAGGGGGCTCTGGCCAGTTGTACACGCTGCCTGTGAGGGCCCCAACCCCTTGACCCCTGACCCAGCCCAGAACTCAGTCCAGACCCTGACCCCAGTGCTTACTTTAGTTTCTAACCTTGACCTCAGCCCCTGACTTCTGATCCTAGCCACTGACTGCCCCTCCGTCCTTTATGATGCTCACGTCCCATAAACCTCTTTTGCAGAAACAAGATCATGAAAACCAGGGTCTGGTAAGTTGAGGAAGCTATGTGACTCCTGGACCCCATGACTCTGTGATCCCCACCTGAGTTCCACAGGGCAGGCTGAGGTAGGTGATCTCAGCCAATGGGTTCTCCTTTCTGCCCAGCCGCCGCCTCCGTCGAGTCAACCAGGGTCTCCGGGCATGCTGCCGGCGAGCTGTGAAGTCCAATGCCTGCTACTGGGCTGTGCTGCTGCTTGTCTTCCTCAACACGCTCACCATTGCTTCAGAGCACCACGGGCAGCCCATGTGGCTCACCCAGACCCAGGGTGCGCCCCCCAGCCTCCAATTTCCTTCATCCCAGAAGCTCCAATTCAGGATTCCTCAGGTGCCTCCGACCCCCAAACACTGCCTTCCCCACAAGTAAATGCAGAAATCTTAGCCTGTCCCATCCCACCTTGTAGCCTACACTTCTGTAGCTCTTTTTTTTATTATTATTACTTATTTCAGAGAGGAAGGGAGAGGGAGGGAGAGAGAGAAACATCAATGATGAGAGAGAATCATTGATCGGCTGCCTCCTGCACACCTCCTACTGGGGATTGAGCCCTCAACCCAGGCATGTGCCCTTGACCGGAATCAAACCCGGGACCCTTCAGTCTGCAGGCTAACGCTCTAATCACTGAGCAACTGGCTAGGGCAGAGCCCAGGCTCTTAACACCACACTGGATAGGTTAACCCCTCTGTGCTTCAATTTCCCCATCTACAAAATGAGATAGTTATACTATTCACTTTATGGGGTGGGTAGGAGGATTATATTAAAGTGAAAAGTGCTTAGCACATTGCCTGGCCCACATAAAGTTAACACTTTATAAGTGATAGCTCTTACAAGAATTCATTTTCATCTCAACCCCAACCTTAATACTGAGCACACTTCTAACCCCAAACTTCAAACCAGCCCCAGTCCTAACTAAAACCCAGACTCTAACTCTATCCTTGAATTGGAGCTTTTCTGGACTCATAGAGGCTGATTGATGCCCCACCCCAACTCTGCCCTTCACCCCAAATCCAAGCCCCTCATCCACTCTGACCTACAAATTCATCCCAATTCCTAACCCTAATCCCACCCCCAGCCTGTGCCTGGCCTGATACCAGCTACCCCAGATCATCCCATGGCCCTACCTCCTCACATGTCACCCCAGAAACTGGCCAGCCCCTCCCCCTTTCCCCACAGAGTATGCCAACAAAGTGTTGCTCTGTCTGTTCACGGTGGAGATGCTTCTCAAGTTGTATGGTCTGGGCCCCTCCACCTACGTTTCCTCCTTCTTCAACCGCTTTGACTGCTTCGTGGTCTGTGGGGGCATCCTGGAGACCACACTGGTGGAGGTGGGTGCCATGCAGTCCCTGGGCATCTCAGTGCTCCGATGTGTGCGCCTCCTCAGGATCTTTAAAGTCACCAGGTGTGTGTGCGGTGGGGGGGTGGGGGGGTGGTGGTGACTGAAGCCACAAACACAGCCCCAACAGCCCTCACCCCAGTCCCAATGATAACTGTGTATATTTCACCATCCAATTTGCAAATATCCATTGAGTGCCTACTGTGTACCAGGCACCACTCCAGGCCTTAGGGAAATACCAGGAATCAAAGCAGACACAAGTTTCTGCCTTCGTGGAGATTCAAGTTCTGTAGGAAGGGTGTCTACTCCGTTTCCATCTTCTTCCTCAACCTCAACCCTGCCTCTGAACTCAACTCCATACTCATGCCCAACCCAAACCCCATCCCAACCCTCAACTACAACACCATCTCTAGCCCAACCCCCAACCACTCATCATCCACAAGCCCATTTATAACCCCCATACCCAATCCCAACCCCATCTCCAATCTCATTCCTAACGCACAGCCTCATCCCCATCACTAACCACAACCCCCCCCCCATTCCTAGCTCCTAACCATCAGTTAATCTCCAAACACAACCCTGTTCCCAGCCTCAATCTTATCCCTAACTCAGTCATCTACAACTCCAAATACTCCCCCAATCCTTAACCCCAACATTGGCCCCAGTTGCAATTTCAAACTCTAACCCCAGTCCTGGTCCCAACCTGAAACCCAATTCTAGCTCCATCAATTTCCATTTACCCTCCATCCTAATCTCATCTCCCATTACTCCCCTAACGCTTAACCCCAATCTCAACCTTCCCCTCACTTCTTATTCTTGCCTCACCCCAGCTCCAAAATCACTTCTAACCCTGATACCAAAGGCCATTTTAACCCAGCCTGCCCCAATGAACCTCAAGCTGGAATTCCTAACTCACCACTGGACATGTCAACCCTGCCCCCTCCATCTCTGCTGCAGGCACTGGGCATCTCTAAGCAATTTGGTGGCATCCCTGCTCAATTCAATGAAATCCATTGCATCCTTGCTGCTTCTCCTCTTCCTCTTTATCATCATCTTCTCCCTGCTTGGCATGCAGCTGTTTGGGGGCAAGTTCAACTTTGACCAGACACACACCAAACGAAGCACCTTCGACACCTTCCCCCAGGCCCTCCTCACTGTCTTTCAGGTGGGGCCTGAAGATGATGGGATGGGTGGGTCAGGGGCACCCTAGGGTGCAGGGAGGGTCTCAAGAGCTTCATGGTGAATCCCCCCCCCCCAGATCCTGACGGGTGAGGACTGGAATGTGGTCATGTATGATGGTATCATGGCTTATGGCGGCCCCTTCTTCCCAGGGATGCTGGTGTGCGTCTATTTCATCATTCTCTTCATCTGCGGCAACTGTATCCTTGAAAACTTGGGGGGCTGGATGCTGGCAGGTGGGGTGGATAGAGGGATCTGGGTGGTCCACAAGCAGGCTGCTTCTCCATCTTTTGTAGCCTGAGCTCACCCCAGACATCCTGTTGAATGTGTTTCTTGCCATTGCTGTGGACAACCTAGCCAGCGGAGATACAGGCACTGCCAAGAACAAGGGCAGGTGATGTCTGGCTCCAGCCCTAAGACAGTCTCTCCTGGATCCCTGCCTGGGAATCCACACAGACATCCCACACCCCACAAATGCCTCAGTCACCCTGGCAATCCCCATCCCCACATCCAACCTGCCAGTTCTCGTTCAATCAACATGCATTTATTGAGCACCTACTTTGTGCCAGGTCCTGTTCTAGATGCTGAGGAGATAACAGGGGTCAAGGTAGATAGAATCCTCTCCTTCATGGAGCTGACATTTGAATTGGGGAAGCAAGCAAAAATACATATAAATGAATATATAATATACTTTAAATATATGTAAATAATATGTAACAAAGAAAAAGAAAGTGAAATAAAAGAATAGAGAGAAATAAAGATTGCTATTTTGGTTAGAGTAGTCAAGGAAGGTCTCTATGTGGAGGTGACAGTTGAACAGAGAGCTGAATAAAGTAAGGGAGTGAGCCATTCAAATATCTGAGGGAAGAATGTTCAAGGCAAAGGGACAGCAAATCAAAGGTCCTGAGGTGATGATAGTCTTAGCACATTCAAAAAAACACCAGGGAGACCAGTGAGCAAAGGAGAGAGTGATAGGAGGTGAGCTCAAATGGGGAAATAGCGAGGCCAGACTTAGGGTGTTCTGGGCCACAGTGAAGACTTTGGTTTTTGCTCTGAGTGGGAACCATGGGAGGGGTGTGAGCAGAGGAGTGATGTGCCAGACTTAGGATTTAACAGGATCCTTCTGGCTACTGTGAGAAGAACAGACTGTGGGGATGAGGGCGGAAGCAGGGAAGTTCTGTGGGGTCTAAGAAAGGTCTGTTCTGACTGCAATGTTCCCCCCTCAGCCTAACCCATCTGCTGCAATCCTTAGCAATCACACACACCCCCATTTCCTCACACAGGGAGAAGAGCACTGAAGGGAAACACCCACAGGAGAATGGATCGTTAGTGAGTTAGAAACCTGGGCACTGTCTACACCTCATACTACCATCAATGCCTGTCTATGTGTTTGTGTTTTTAACCCCCAACCTCTGCCTATTCAATCCTTCATTATTGCATCCCTTCCGTGCTTCCCTATGTCCATCTCCTGATGTCTCTCCCACAACCAATGACCCCTATCTTCCTGTCCCCAGGTGCCTGGTGGGGAGAATGAGAAAGAGGAGGGTGCAAAGAATGAAGGAGCAGGCAAGTGACCAGGGCCAGGTGGAGGAGGTGTGGGACCCTAGGGACAGCACCCACCCAGGCAGAGCTCTTGACTCCTGAGACCCTCCTGTCTAGGGAGCAGCCTTTTCCAAGATCATCTTGAAAATAATGGGCATGGTTTTTGGCCATCAACATTTGGGACATTGAGATTAAAGAAGATTAACAGATGTTTTGTTTTACTGCGGAACTTCTCAGAGCCTTTATTTTATAACTAGAGGCCCAGTGCACAAAATTCATGCACAGGTGCAGTCCCTAGACCTGGCCGGCAATCAAAGCGTGAGTGTCTGCATGGAAGGGCAGGTCCCAGCTGACCTCTGGGCCCTGGGCAGCACCTGGGCCCCTGGGCCCCCATGCGCCCCCCTCTGCCTGAGTCATTGGGCCCCACCCGGCTCCCTCAGCACCTGGGAGCCAGGCAGCAGCCCTGTCACCACTGCTGGTCACCATCTGCAGGGAGATCGGCAGGGTGATCAGGCCCCACCTTGGCCTGGCGCCACCCACTCACCTGCTCCACCATCCTGCCATGGTCCTGCTCTTGTCGGGGCCCATCAAGGCCAGCAGTGCCTCCACTGCCACCTGCTGCCAGCACCGCATCACCAATGCCCACCATGTTCCGCAGTGCCCCTGGTGGTCAGCACACATCATAGCGAGTGGTCTAACTCCCAGTCAAGGGGACAATTTGCATATTAGGCTTTTATTATATAGGATAGCATGTATATGACTGCGAGGATGGCAGTGTTCATTCAACACACATTTACTGAGCTCTTACTGTGTCCCAGACACTGTTCTAAGTGCTTTACATACATTTTCTCAATTAATTCCCTCTCTTCTGATCTTGTGGTACCAGGCATGGAGGACGAGGAGGAGGAGGAAGAAGAAGAGGAGGAAGAAGAGGGTGCAGGACGTGTGGAACTCCTACAGGAAGTTGTTCCCAAGGAGAAGGTGGTGCCCATCCCTGAGGGCAGCGCCTTCTTCTGCCTCAGCCAAACCAACCCGTGAGTGCTGGGGCAGGAGGGGCTTGAGCAGGTGGAGGGCCAGGGGGCAGCCAAGGCTCAGTGGGGTAGGGTACACATCCTGATACAACAGGCTTGAGCTGCAACCCTTGGGCTCTCCCAATCAACTCTGGGTTCTGACCACGGCCCATTCCCCATTCACCAGAATGAGGAAGGCTTGCCACACCCTCATCCACCATCATGTCTTCACCAATCTTATCCTGGTATTCATCATCCTCAGCAGTGTGTCCTTGGCCGCTGAGGACCCCATCCGAGTCCACTCCTTCCGCAACCATGTGAGCCTTTGGGGGGCACTCCCATGAATGTCCTATTGGGCACTATCCAGCCAGTGTGCAAACAGGGAGAAGACCCCTATCTGGGCAGAAAGAGAAGGGCAAGAATGGCAGCCTTACTGTGTGTGTAGCACACTTGCGGAAGCTCCAGGGAGGAGATCAGTGTACAGCTGAAGAAGAATCTGTGCTCAGAGAGGTTGAACAGGCCAAGGGCACCCATGTAGCTGGGTAGAGGCAGAGAAGCCCAAATTTGAACCCTAGTCTTTCTGATGGCCAAGCCTTTTGCCTTGTAGAGCAGTTCTTAATGATCATAAGAAAGAGAGGGAAGGGAGGAGGAGGGGGACAGCAATGATTACATAGAGAGGTACAAGTATGTGCGCTTGCACACACACACACACACACACACACACACACACACACACACACACACCTAGGATACCCCACAGCCATGACTCAGTGACTTTCCCTCTTTTTCATCCCCCAGATTCTGGGGTACTTTGATTATGCCTTCACCTCCATTTTCACTGTGGAGATTCTACTAAAGGTAACTAATGGGTCCCCAATCATACCTCCAGTTGCCCCAACCACCACCGCAACCCACCTCTCCTGTTTCCATCCCCTTATACCCCTTTTATTTCCAAATCTGGGGTCTAGCCTGATGACCTCTACCCTCCTCCCCAGATGACGGTGTTCGGGGCCTTCCTGCACCAAGGCTCCTTCTGCCGTAGTTGGTTCAATCTGTTGGATCTGCTGGTGGTCAGTGTGTCCCTCATCTCTTTTGGCATCCAGTAAGTGACCCTTCACCCAGCCCATTCCTCCAGAGCTGAGGCAAGGCCTGAGCCAGGGCCTGAGGACTGCCCCCTCCCCAGCTCCAGCGCAATCTCGGTAGTAAAGATTCTGCGAGTACTCCGAGTACTTCGGCCCCTTAGAGCCATCAACCGAGCCAAGGGACTCAAGGTAACCCCACCCCACCCAAGTCCACAGGATCCAGGCCTTGCCCCTGGGGCCAAAATCACTTTTCAGATTGACCATTTGCATGATGCATGACCACATGTAACCACTCATGCCTGACCATTGGCCATGTGGCCAGACCCATATTCCTTAACCAATGACCACATTTTTCTGATCTGAGTCCCTGGCATGTGGCCACATATCCTGTCTGGTAAACACTTATTCCTGGTTGGTGCCCACACATCCCTGGCCCACATCACTGTCCCTTAACCACGTGTTCCTGACCGCACATCCTTGACCCACAATAACATGTCCCTGACCCAAGTCCCTGAGCTCCATCATGCCCATAATCCCTGCCCCATGGCTGCTGTGGCCTGCACTGTCCATTAGTCATATTTGTGGGTACCTGCAGCACGTGGTGCAGTGTGTGTTCGTGGCCATCCGGACCATCGGGAATATCATGATTGTAACCACACTTCTGCAATTCATGTTTGCCTGCATTGGTGTGCAGCTCTTCAAGGTGGGAAGAAACACTAGAGGGAGACCCAAGCATGAGTCAAGGTGGGGTTGAAAGGTGCACCTGCTTGACAAATATCCTCCCTACAGGGGAAATTCTACAGTTGCACTGATGAGGCCAAACACACCCCCAAAGAATGCAAGTAAGTAGCCAAGACCTTGCCCTCACTGGGCCCAGAACCCTTCCCAAAGGCCACAGAGGCCCCTAGAGCTCACCAAGGCCCCTGAAACCCTTAGAGTTTCCTCCCAAGAACTTCAGAGAGCCCCCCAGATTTTATCAAGGCTCCCAGAACTCCCCAAGCCTCCAAGATACACCATCAGAACTCTCCCCAGAACTGCAAAGGCCCTCAGATCTCACCAAACTCTAAGAGGCTCCTCAGTACCTCCCCAAACCCCTCTCCACCTCTCCAGAATCACCTATATTTTACTCTGGACCTCCCAGCCATCCCCAAACACCATGACAGCCATGCACCACTTAATCCTCAACGTCCATCCTGTAGAGGGTAGAGGTCAGAAGCATGGACTTTGAAATCAAACATTCCTGGTTCAAATCATCCCATGAGACTTTTCTTAACCTTGTAATTTTTTACATTTCTTAACCTTGCTGAATCCCATTTTCCTTAACTGAAGAATGGTGATTTTAAAAATGTGACTCTCACTGATTTTTTGTGAGGAGTAAATGACTTACCATATGGAGGGTGTACTACAATGTAAAGTTACTAGGTATAAAGCCTAGCACCATGCCTGGCATAAACTTAGTGATGAACAGGTTGGCTATTATTTGTATTACTTTTTTCTGGGTGGCAATGATAATGATGATAATGGTGATGAGGGCTAACATATAGGGATTGGCAAAGGTAGGTTTACAGTTGTAATGAATAAACTCTGTATCTCATGTACTCACAACTCTAAACCTACTTTTGCCCCACCCTGTATGTGGTGCCAACTATGTGCCACACACTATTCTCACTACTGACTTAATTATACGTGTAACAAGACAGTAAATATGTTGTTCTTATTTCATGGATGGGGAAAACTGAAGCACAGAGAGGTTAAATGCCCAAGGTCACCCAGCCAGTAAATGGAGGGGCAGGATTTGAACCCAGGCTATCCAGCTCCACCATGATGCCCTGATGCCTCCATGCTGGAAACCTCAGTCCCCTTTCCACAGCTCTCTACCCTTCCTCACCCACTCAGACTGTCTACAACATCTACAGGGGCTCCTTCCTGGTCTATCCTGATGGAGATGTGTCACGGCCCTTGGTCCGGGAGCGGCTCTGGGTCAACAGCGATTTCAACTTTGACAATGTCCTTTCAGCCATGATGGCTCTGTTCACTGTCTCCACCTTTGAAGGCTGGCCTGCGTGAGGAGAAGGGCCCCAGGGATGAGCAAGGGACAAGGAAGGAGCATCTAGGGGACTGGCTTGGAATCTGCTGAAGGATGGGTGGGAGGGTATCTTGAAATGTGATCAAGGCCTTTTGAAACTGGATAGAGTTTTCTGGGGACTGGTGAGAATATCAGAAGACTGGGTGGGGGTCTCCCAGTAGCTGGCTGGGGTGCTTTGGGGACCCAGGTGGGTGGGGTCTCCAGGAATTGGGTAGAGATCTCTGAGGGATTAGGTAGAAGTCTAGAGAGGACTGGGTAGGATTTAGGGGGGACCAGGTAGATGCCTGGAGAGACTGGTTGGGGGTCTCAGAGGAGATGGAATGGGGGATTCAAGGGTTTCCAGAGAGTTGTGCAAGTCTTCAGGGTAGTAGTTGGAGATCGCTAGGGAGGTGGAGCAGGGAATTCAAGTTGATGGGACAGGGGATTTAGCAATCTTTGGGGGTTGGTGGGGGAGTTATGGGTAACTGCATGGGGACTACAGGTGGATGGAGAAGGGGATTTGGGAGGTCTGTGGTAGCTTAAGGGATTTGGGAGTCTTTGAGGGCCTAGTGGAGGTCTCTTGGAGTATGTATGGAGGTTCCAGGTGATTAGGTCAAAGGATCTAGGGGTCTTTGGGGTACCAAGCAAGAGATTCTGAGGTGTCTATGATAAGTAGTCTAGGGGAAGGTCTGAGGAGCCTGGTATATCCCCTCACCTGCCTCCACTGGCTCCACAGGCTGCTATACAAGGCCATTGATGCACATGCAGAGGACCAGGGACCCATCTATAATTACCATGTGGAGATTTCAGTGTTCTTTATTGTCTATATCATCATCATCGCATTCTTCATGATGAACATCTTTGTGGGCTTCGTCATCATCACTTTCCGTGCCCAAGGGGAACAGGAATACCAAAACTGTGAGCTGGACAAGAACCAGGTGACCTCTGACCCCTGATCCATGACCATCAACCCCCCATATACACCTCCTTGCCTTGGAACCTCACTACTCACTCATGCCCTGCACCCATATGCAGCGCCAGTGCGTGGAGTACGCTCTCAAGGCCCAGCCACTCCGCCGCTACATTCCCAAGAACCCGCATCAGTATCGTGTGTGGGCCACTGTGAATTCTGCTGCCTTTGAGTACCTCATGTTTCTGCTCATCCTGCTCAACACGGTTGCTCTAGCCATGCAGGTCTGAGCTCCCCACCCTGACCCCTGCCAGATACCCTATTCTGTTTACACAATCCCTTGGGAACCATTAGGCATGCTTTAGGCTGCAAGTAATAAAACCCCCAACTGACAGAAACTTAAGCTATAAAGATATTTACCACATCTCTTCACATCTAAGGCCAATAATTGTAAGTTACATCCTGATTTCAGAAATCAAAGAATATGAAAAAGAAATGGCAGATAGCAATTGTAAGTTGCCATTGATTATAAAACACACCCCAATTTCAGAGATTCTAAAATGTGAAAAGATGTACATAACAAGAAATGTAGAGGTAGGCTGTTTGTTCATTGCTCATAAGAGACCCAGTCTCTGTCTTCCTGCTCCACTCTTTTTTTAAAATATATTTTTATTGATTTCAGAGAGGAAGGGAGAGGGAGAGAGAGATAGAAACATCAATCATGAAAGAGAATAATTGATCGGCTGCCTCCCACACGCCCCACACTGGGGATCCAGCCTGCAACCCAGGCATGTGCCCTGACTGGGAATTGAACCATGACCTCCTGGTTCATAGATTGATACTCAACCACTGAGCCGGGCTGCTCTGCTGTTTTTAGTGGGTTAGTTTTCATTCTCATGATTATTGCTTCATAGTCACAAAATGGCTGCCACAGCTCGGCATCAACACTACATTCAGGGCAGAAAAAGGGAGAGAAGGTTGCACCAGGGGACTCTCCTAATTTGAGCCTTTTATTAGAAAGTGAAAATAGCCCTAGCTGGCTTTGCTCAGTAGATAGAGCATCAGCCTGCGGACAGAAGGGGTCCGGGTGTGATTCCAGTCAAGGGCATGTACCTCAGTTGCAGGCTCCTCCCTGGCCTGGGCCCTGACCAGGGTCCATGCAGAAGGCAACCAATCAATGTGTTTCTCTCATATCAATATTTCTCTCTGTCTTTCCCCCTCTCTTCCACTCTCTCTCTCTAAAAAAAAGGCAAAAATATTTTTCACAGAAGCTACCCAACCAGCAGCAGACTTATGTTTCTATGTCAGTCAGAACTAGCTGCAAGGAAATGAAATTTTACCATTTGCTACAACACAGATGAACCTAGAGGGTATTATGCTAAGTGAAATAAGTCAGACAAAGAAATAAAAATACCATGTGATTTCACTTATATGTAGAATCTAAAGAACAAAATAAACGAAAAAACAAAACAGAAACAGACTCATAAATACTGAAAACAAACTGACAGTTGCCAGACGGGAGGGGAATCCAGGGGCTAGGTGAAAGGATTAAGAAGTACAAATTGATAGCTATAAAATAGTCACAGGGATATAAAGTACACCATAGAGAATACAGTCAATAATATTGTAATAACTATGCATGGTTCCAGGTGGGTACTAGACTTATTGAGGTGATCACTTTGTAAATTATATAAATGTCTAACCACTATACTATACACCTGAAACTAATATAAAATAATATTGAAAATCAGCTGTAGTTGACAAGTAAAAAAGAGTTGGTCTCCCTCAATATCCATCATGGAGGTAGATAATGTGAGGGGTTAGGCCAACCCATTGTGCTATACCACCTCCTCAGACTCCCCTCACTCCTAGCCAGAGAACATTTGACTAGGGGTGGGGGGTTCTCTGCTTCAGGTGCTGTCCTCACACCTGATTTTCTCCTCCAGCACTATGAGCAGACTGCTCCCTTCAACTATGCCATGGACATCCTCAACATGGTCTTCACTGGCCTCTTTACTGTTGAGATGGTGCTCAAAATCATCGCCTTCAAACCTAAGGTGTGCCCCACCTGCAGTGGGTGAATTCCTTGGGGTGGAACTCACTGCAGTGCTCTCAGGAGGGCAGCAACCAGGGAGTCATGAGACTAGGGAATGAGAGGGATCCAGATGCAGGCCCATCGTGTGGTCTAAGCTGGGCTTTGTCTCCCCAATTTCCCCACCGTACTGGCCCCCTACCCTAGCTTCCTAGATATGAGAAGACATATTTCTGCTTTCCTCCTGCCTCCAGCATTACTTTGCCGACGCCTGGAACACATTTGATGCTCTTATTGTGGTGGGCAGCGTAGTGGACATTGCTGTCACTGAAGTCAACGTGAGTACTGGCCTCTCTACTAACCCACTCTCCCCCTGCTAACCTTTCCTCACCTCAACCTCAGGGCTTTCTTTCAAATGGGTAGAGGAGATGACACAATCCCATCCACCCCACTCATGGAGACTCAGTGCTCCTCATTCTAGCTCTATCCCTTCTGAGTCCCTGTTGGATTCAGCCAAAATCCCCCTCCACCACCTCCCTCATTTCATTTGCAGCCCACCCTCTGGATCCACCATCACCTAACATGACTTTGTTATTTCTATTATTTCCTTCATTGTTTCTACATCCACCTCCACTGGTTCCATCATCTCTTCTGATTCCTTCATTGACTCCATTCCCTCCACTGACTCCATCATCTCCAACGCTGGGTCTTTCACGTCTCTGTCATTACCACTGACTGCATGGTTGGCTCCATAATCTCCTCCATTGGGTATTATATGGTACTGTTACATCTATTGACAATGCTGCTGGTTCCATACCTCCATCACTGGCTTCTCCAATGGGTCCCCCCATGGGTTCTCTCATATCCATCATCTCCATAAAACAACTGGCTCCATCATTTCCTCCATTGGCTCCAATATCTCTCCTCCATAATCTCCTGTACCTTCTCCTCTCCTTCACCCTCATTACCAACTTTTCCCACAACCATCTTAATCCACTACCATATAACCTTCCCCATTGGACCTTGCATAATGATTGTACCATCCATTATCCCCTATAACTGTTCAATAATTTCTCCCCTTGTTCACTTGGGCCTGTGATCACATCATCTCCTCTATCTCCCCTGTCTTGACCATATCTCACTCCAGAATGGTGGCCATCTTGGCGAGGTAGCCCCCCATCATAAACAGGGACTCCCTGCTTTTTCCCCACCCACCCTTTCTTCCTTTTTACCTTAAGAGACCTTATACATGCTCCCTGACCACCCTGGGACCTGACTTCTGACAGATTTAGGGGTTGGGAGGGCCAAAGCTTGAAGCAGGGAGGTGGCTGGGGGAAATGTGGGCTGAGCATACCCACCATACCCCCAACCCCAGAGCTCTGAGGACAGTTCCCGCATTTCCATCACTTTCTTTCGCCTCTTCCGAGTCATGAGACTGGTCAAGCTTCTCAGTAAGGGTGAAGGGATCCGCACATTGCTCTGGACATTCATCAAGTCCTTCCAGGTAACTCCCCATCCCTTTGACCACCCTTTACTCCCACCTTACCTCTCAGCCTGCTGTTTTACCACCCTCAGAACTGTATCTCCTAGTGTGCCACACCCACCTGCAACTTGCCATTTTCAGTTTTCTCTCTTTTCTAGGCTCTCAATTCCCAACATGCCTTGGCTTCACTGACTTTATTGTATTTAATACTGTGTCCACATTTGGGATATACTGGTAGTCATTACATGGGCACTTGGGGGATGGACCACATCTCTCATCAGGTCCAGGCTTGAGGGAGCAGTGCATTCTGGGGATTATAGTTCTCTGCCTGGACCTGAGTATCTATCTTCCTCTCCACCCCATAGGCCTTGCCCTATGTTGCTCTTCTCATCGCAATGATATTCTTCATTTATGCAGTCATTGGGATGCAGGTGAGTGGGGACCCTAGGGAGCATCCCTCAGGCACTTCTCTGATGAGGGAGGTTGATTAGGAAGAGCCCGAAATTGGGATTGGTGGGTGGAAAGACAGACAGACACGCTGGATGACCCTGAGACAGTCCACATGTCTGTGAAATGGGATCATCAGTGCCTGTTTGTCAGGGTTGTAAGGACCCTTTGGGTATTAGTAGTTGTGAAATGGGTGGCAGCCTCTTCACCCCTCTGACACAGCCCCTGTGTGCCCACAGATGTTCGGCAAGGTGGCCCTTCAGGATGGCACACAGATCAACCGAAACAACAACTTTCAGACTTTTCCACAGGCTGTACTGCTTCTGTTCAGGTGACATCTACCCCTCTCTCTGCCACCTCAGTCCCCAGCATGCCCCTGTGGGTCCCAGACTGCCTGAGCTGTGGAAATAACAGGGCAGCATGGGGTTCCATGTTGCCTGGGACCTTTTCTGGCTGTGACCTGAGCATTTGAGAATATTCTAGCCTCAGCCATCCTTTTTCTGGCTGTAAGATGTATCCCGTTCTTTGGCCTCAGTGTCCCATCTATAAAATGTGAATATGACCATCATAAACATGGCATGCCAGCTTTTTAAATGTAGAAATGCTATTTGTGCCAGATGTAGCCCCTGGCAGGAGGTGGGTCATCCCATAACCTTTCCAGTCCCCATAATACCATTTGCCATGACTTCAGAGCCTTCCCTCTAGGATGACACCCTCATGTGATCCCCAGGTGTGCCACTGGTGAGGCATGGCAGGAGATAATGCTTGCCACACTTCCTGGGAATCGATGTGACCCTGAGTCTGACTTTGGCCCTGGCGAGGAGTTTACCTGTGGTAGCAATTTTGCCATCGCCTATTTTATTAGCTTCTTCATGCTCTGTGCCTTCCTGGTGAGGACCTTTTCCCCCATAACCACCACCACTACCATAGGGGCTGGCCCTGAAGGGTCTGGGGATGTCAAATGAGGTGGGGAGCCCAGATCTTCAGAGTAGGTGAAAGGGCTGGCCTGGTTCAGGGATTTGTAACCCAGAGACCATATAATCTTACCTCACAGCCTCCCACCAACCCCCTCCTTTCTACTCTGCCTTTCACCTAACCCCCCGCTCACTGGCCCACAGATTATAAATCTCTTTGTGGCTGTGATCATGGACAACTTTGATTACTTAACCAGAGATTGGTCCATCCTGGGGCCCCATCACCTCGATGAATTCAAGAGGATCTGGTCTGAATATGACCCTGGGGCCAAGTATGCCCTCTAACCTCTAACCCCATACTTGGTATCCCAGGGGACAGTGCACTGCCCCACAGTCTCCCAGCCCCAACCTACTCCTCCCATTACCCAGTCAGTAGATGCCCCAGGGTCCCCTGACCCTGTCTTCTGCCCCCCCACCCCCATCCTCACCCCCCGCTGCCATGACTGCCCTTCAATTCTGCCCTGGCAGACCCTGGGGTATTGTTGGGGAGAGGTAGTGATGAGCTGGTGGGTCCTTGAGAAAAGATTAGAGCGGGTATCTCCAATCCAGTGGTGCCTCCCACCTACCCCCACCTGCCCAAGGGGCCGCATCAAGCACCTGGATGTAGTTGCCCTGCTGAGACGCATCCAGCCACCACTGGGATTTGGGAAGCTGTGCCCACACCGAGTGGCCTGCAAGGTCTGTGCACCTGCCCACCCCACGCCCCTTACCTCTGAGAGAGCTGTCCACCATCTGGCAGGGGTGGGCAGAAACTTTGCCTTGGGTGAGGAGGGGGTGTTTGGTTGCATCTTCAAAGGTTTCTGCCCCTGGACATTCAGGCCTGCATCTCAGGCATTTGCCCAAAGTGGGTTTCACGTCCCTGGTGTGCACAGAGACTGGTGGCGATGAACATGCCTCTCAACTCAGATGGGACAGTGACATTCAATGCCACACTCTTTGCCCTGGTTCGGACATCCCTGAAGATCAAGACAGAAGGTGTGTGTGGGGGGGGTGGGGGACAGGAGTGGAAGGATCCCTAGGGAGGTTGCAGGGAGCAAACTGAGTGCTGGGTCCCACTCCTAGTTCTGAACCTCAAAATAGGTGACTGTTTTCTCCAGGCCCATTTCTCCACCTGTCCAATAGGGGAGGTGGTGCCTGACTGCAGTAGAAGCTTGCAAAGCCCCTCCAACAGTGAGGGAGTGGCTGTGAAGGACTCTTCCTATTGGCTCATGCACGCCCCCCTCCCCCATCCTCTCCTGGAGCAGGGAACCTGGAGCAAGCCAATCAGGAGCTTCGGATTGTCATCAAAAAGATCTGGAAGCGGATGAAGCAGAAGCTGCTAGATGAAGTCATCCCCCCTGCTGATGGTGAGCTATCCTCACCCCAATTCTTGATCCAGCCTCTGAATGTCAGATGATTGCTCACCAGCACTGGCTGGGGGAGGGGGGGTTTATGCTGTGGGTAGGGTGGGAGGAACAGAGGACCCCTATGTGACCTTGCCTCCTCTCCCTTGCCCCCAGAGGAAGAGGTCACCGTGGGCAAATTCTATGCCACATTTCTGATCCAGGACTATTTCCGCAAATTCCGGCGAAGGAAAGAAAAGGGGCTACTAGGGACCGAGGCCTCCCCAAGCACCTTCTCTGTCCTTCAGGTCTTCAGAGTGGAGCCTGGGTGGGTGGGGGTCTGTGGGAGCACTGTGGCAGAGGCTAACTGCTCTCTTGATTTCATGGAGCCCATGTCACAGATTTGGAAACTGAGGCCCCAGGACCCACAGAGGGTCAGAGATGGTTGAGGGGACTCCTTCCCCCACCCCACACTCCTGCATGGGAAGCAGGCTTAATGAAAGGGGAGTTTAGACCCTGAGCTATCCTGCTTCCCTATTTTATCACCCTCACAGGCTGGTCTGAGGAGCCTACAGGACTTGGTTCCTGAGATCCGACAGGCCCTCACCTGTGACATAGATGAAGAGGAAGAGGAAGAGGGGCAGGGTAGAGAGGAAGAGGAAGATGAGAAGGACCCAGAAACATACCAAGTGAGGAACAACAAGTTTCCACTCCCCCAGGATTGTAAAGTACCCCTCAATCCCCTGAGTAACTTCCACA